CACACAAGCCTGCTCCATCATAAACACCTTATTTGTAAATAAGCAAGGAAGAGATTATAGAACAATAATGAGTTCTACAGCTTTGGGCAGTGTGAACCCTGTGAGCAGCACATAGCATTTCCTCTTCTGTCAGCATGGAGCTAATTGTGTATCCTGGAAAGAGGAGTTTGATGATGTGCCTTCTAACTCAGAGAGCAGGATTGAGGCCCACTCGTGCAGGCCTTGTTCTCATTTGTGGCTGTGTATACTTGGAATAGATCAGTGCTTCCACTAGGGTCTTTTTTTTTTTTTTTTTTGGGTCTGGTAGTGGGGCCTGAACTCTGGGCCTGGGCGCTGTCCCTCAGCTCTTCAGCTCAAGGCTAGCGCTCTACCACTTGAGCCACAGCGCCACTTCCGGCTTTTTTCTTTTTGCTTATGTGGTGCTGAGGAATCGAACCCAGGGCCTCGAGCATGCAAGGCAAGCGCTCTACCACTGAGCCACCTTCCCAGCCCCCCACTAGGGTCTTTGTTTTGTTTGGTTAGTAGTTCCTATGGCACTTCCTTTTATGTTTCTTCTCTAGTCCTTTCTAGCGTGCAAATTGCTCCTACTGAAGACAGGAGGTGCAGTTTAACAGTAAAGAATGAGCATATTGGAAGCAAATGGACCAGCCCTGTCACTTCCTTTCTAGCTGTATAACCTTGGGTAGGTCAAACAATTTCCCAGTGCAAATTCTGTCAGGTGAAGAGGTAATTTCTTCATCCAGGCTTAATGAGGATTAAATGTAAAACTGTGTGAAAGCACTAGTCAAAATGCTCACCACATGGCAAACGCTCAAGAAGACACAGCTGTCATTATTAACCTTTAACTTTGGTCCTCCATGGGTCTGCTTTATTTTCTTTTCTTTTTAAATTAATTTTGTTGTCAAGGTGATGTACAGAGGGGTTACAGTTGCATAGTTGTACAGTTCATTTCCAACACAGTGTCTTGTGAGTATCGCTGTTGTATTGGTTCACCCTTTGTCCTTTGTCTCACCAGTTTGTTGCTCCCCTTCCCTTCCCTGATTTTAGATAAATGTATTTGCAATACCAAGGGTACCAAAATCAAATACAGTGATATCAGGAGACAAACATAAGGGAAAGAAACTAAAGAAAAAGAAGCAACTTAACATAGTACATCAAAAACCACAGAAATAAAGAAAAACTTCTTGTAATTCATTTCATTTAATATCATCTTACATGATCACATGTACACAGCTTTTAAGCTATTGTGGTCCTCTGCTAGAATTATCTGAGACATATGCTAATGGTTACAAATGAGGGAAACCAGGCAATCTATGTTTCTTTGAGTTTGGCTTACTTCACTTAATAAACTTTTTTCCAAGTCTTTCCATTTCCTTGCAAATGGGGCAATGTCATTCTTTCTGGTGGAAGCATAGAATTCCATTGTGTTTAGATACTACATCTTGATCCATTCATCTATGGAGGGGCATCTGAGTTGGTTCCATATCTTAGCTTTGGTAAATAATGCTGCAATGAACATGGTTGTGCTGGTAGCTTTAGTATGGCCTTATTGTGGTCATTTGGGTAAATGCCCAGTAGTGGGATTGCTGGATCATAGGAGAGCTCTGTGTTTAATCTCTTGAGGAACTTCCATGCTGCTTTTCAGAGTGGCTGGATAGGTTTGCACTCGACCAACAGTGTAGTAGCATTCTCTTTTGGCCACATCTCCACCAGCATGTCCAAGTGCATTTTTAAGTCTTTTACCATTCAGTGTGTTTACTTGTAGATTTATAGACACATTCTAGTTACAACAAATAAGGGAAACTATGCAACCCATGTTCCTTTGGGTCTGGCTTACTTTATTTAATATAATTTTTTCCAAGTCTTCCCATTTCCTCAAAATAATAAACACAGAGCTTCTGTATGACCCAGCAATTCCACTCCTGGGCATTTATCCAATAGACCACAAACAAGGCCACACTAAAGCTATCAGCACAACTATGTTCATTGCAGTATTGTGTATCATAGCTAAAATATAGAATCAACCCAGATGACCTTCAAAGGACAAATGGATCAAGAAGATGTTTTATTTATACACAATGGAATTCTATGTTTCATCAGAAATAATGTTATTATATCATTTGTATAGGTTCTTTTTTTTGGGGGGGGGGGTCCAGGCATGGGGCCTGAACTCTGGGCCTGGGCGCTGTCCCTCAGCTCTTCAGCTCAAGGCTCTACCCCTTGAGCCACAGCGCCACTTCCGGCTTCTTTGTTTTTGCTTATGTGGTGCTGAGGAATTGAACCCAGTGCCTCATGCATGCAAGGCAAGTGCTTTTGACATGATACTTCTAAGGATTCACTTTTACCAAGGAAACACTAAATAACCAGATTCACCTAAGTACTAATGTATGTACATATGTATGTGTACTCATATGTTTGTGTTTGTATGTGTATATATATGTATATATTTAAATATGGAATCATATAGGACTGCAAATACAACAATAACTTGATTAAGAACTAATAAAGGTGTGTTTCTTAGTTCCAGATTATAAAACATTATGAAGTTAAAATAATAAAAAGAAAATTATACTGTCACAAAAATAGACCTACTCAATAGATCAGGACAGAATTCAGAATAGGAAAGATTTTATTATTCAAAAATAGTGTTGGAGAAAATACGTATGAACCTATGAAGAAATGGATGTGTGTCACACATGTCATATAGGTCACATCTGGCACATGTGTAACACCTGTCACAGATGTCACACATGCCATATGTGTTGTAAATGCCACCTGTGTCCCATATGTGTTGTAAATGCCATCCGTACCACATGTCATTGTGTCACATATGCCATATATGTCATCCTTGTTGCACATGTCACATTGTGTCATGGATGTCACATTATGTCACACATGCCACATATGGCACACACGTCACAATTTCCACAGGTGTCATATGTCTGACACAAGCCACATGTGCCATGTATGTCACATGTCACAAATGCCACATGCCATATAGCATATGACTCACATGTCACACATGTCATATATGTCAATATGCTGCATGTGTCACAGCCACACGTCACAGTTGTGACATGGCACATGTCATATATAGCATATGTGCCATACATGCGGCACATGTTACGCATGTCACGTGTCACCCATGTCACCCATGTCACCCATGTCACATGTGTCACATATGTAATATGTACCACATATATCTTATACCTGTCTCCTTGCCACACATGCCATCCATGTCATGTGTGTCACACATGTCATATGTGCCATGCATGCCATGCAGTCACACACCATACATGTAGCAAGTGTCATGCAAGTCACACATGTCCTGTATGACACACGTGGCATGGGTGACATGTGCAGCATGCATGACACGTATGCCATATACCACACATGTTATGCATGTCACAAGTCTACATGTCGCATGTGATGTGCATGTGATGCAGCACATGTATAACGCATGTTGTATACTACACGTGTCATGTATGTCACATGTGTCAAATATGTTATGTATGAGCTCTAAGGATAGATTATGTGCTACTCTAATATTCTTTTTCTATATATATTTTTATTGTAAAGATACTGTACAGAGGGGTTACAGTTACATGAGTAAGGTAATGAGCATATTTCCTATTGAGCATTGTTACCCCCTCCTTTGTTTTGCCCCTATCATCCTTCCCTCCCCCATTCCCAACTACTCCCTCCCTTGGAAGTTGTAAAGTTTGTTTTCAACATAGTGTCTTGTTCTAATATTCTTAAATTACACCAAACTTGGAAATGTGTTGTTATTATTTCAATATGTAACTAAAGAGGTGTTAAATTTATTTAAATAGGCATAAGAGGAACATACGATTCCTGAGGCTAAACGTGCAGGTGACTTACTTGAAACCCTTTCTATTCAGAGCCATGGGACTTTTACTATTGCAATGGTATAAAACATGCTTTTAACTTAACTATCCTATTGTTCCCTCAATACTTAAAGTATTAAGTGAAGCCGTCTTAATGTAATTCTCTCTCTCTCTCTCTCTCTTTCTCTCTCTCTCTCTGACAAACAGCTTTATTTAGTGACTGAAATAACTCATTTACCCAAATCCCAGAAATAAAGTTTTCCACGACAGTCATCATTTCTGGTTTTTGATAGGAAACTCTAAATGAGATTCTTACGTTTTTAATGCCAGTGAAAAGGAAATCATCCATTGTGAGAGCAATGTGACTTTGCTTTTCTTAGTCAATTTGAGCAAGTCACCCTTAGGAACAAGTTCCCAAGTTAGAGAATTGGAACCACTTGCTGCTATTTATTACAAACTTCAATTAAGGAAACGGGAAATATGAGAACAGTGAAACTGCATGTTTCTGACAGCTCCTGACAGCATTATCATAAAGGGTCAATTTGATTAATGTCTTGTGTGCTATGAGAAAATGAAGGCACACAAAAATCTGGGTAAACTTAGTCCCAAGAGTGTCTCACATCCACACAGTTCTTGCTGTGATGGTAGATTTTGCATTCCCACATCTATCTGGGGGAAGTAGGTGGGATTTGCTCATTAGTTGAGATGGATATGTATACCTGTTGCTTATGTAGGCATATAATATTGACCTCATTTCACATTTGAATTTCTAGAATTATCTTTAAGTAGTTGTACAAAGGAGTTGCCATTTAATAAAGCAGTTTATGAATACAATATTCTTTTTTTTTTTTTTCAGTCATGAGGCTTGAACTCTGGGCCTGGGTGCTATCCTTCAGCTCTTCAGCTCAAGGCTAGCACTCTACCACTTGAGCCACAGCATTACTTCCAGTTTTCTGAGTGGTTTTATTGGAGATGAGAGTCTCACGAACTTTTCCTGCCCAGGCTGGCTTAGAACCATGATCCTCAGAACTCAGCCTCCTGAATAACTAGGATTACAGGCGTGAGCCACCGGTGCCTGCCTATGAATACAATATTCTTGACGGATGTCAGCCCTTTCACCATTCTCACCCATTCCTTCCCATCATACCTCTTTCCTTATTCTTAATTTTGTAGGATATCCATTGGATTCTTGTGCAGGGGTCATGCTAATGTTCTCTGTACCATTCCAATTTTAACATATGTACTGTCAAAGCAAGTGCTATTTTTTAAAAAAAAAATACATAATTACTCAGAGAAAAAACCATTTACCCAAGAATAAAAGAATAAGACATTGAGCACCCCCAAATAGTTATCATTAAACTCAGGCTTCAGAGATCTGGTATGTGTCCCTGGGAGTTTGGAGATATTCAAATGTAATGTTAGGAGACTCCCCCCAGCATTGAGATTCTGAGTGTGTACTCAGACTAATCCAGAGCCACAAGAGTGGCTGATGTCCATGGGATAGGTTGGCAACAGAACCTCCACTGGACCTCAGGTAGAGTCCAACATTCTCCCTTTAGGATTGAAAGTATTAATTCACTAGTGATAGAGGGCTTTGTTGTAGCACTGTAAGAGGACTGATTACCCTTTCTGTTTCAGCCAACTTTAAATTATAAGACACAAATGAGAAAGAGAAGGAGGGAAAATCTAGTCACTAAGACCAAGGGTCACTTTGTCCTACGTCAACTCTAAAAGAGTAAACTGAAACTATAAGCTCAATTAAATTTGCTTTTTTTTTTAAAGCAACTGATAACACTTGAAAAATGATGGAAGCAAATTGAAAGACATTACAAGATATGGAAGGGAGAATTTACAAAGCAAATCTAAAAACAGTGGTTAGAGAGAAAGTAAAGTCTTGCTGTGCTTCTTTTAAGTAAACAATTTAATCTCATCTTCAGTGCCTGTTTCTCTTAGTTGTTATGATGAGTAAATGATTGAATGCATGGACAGTGAATGAATGAAAGAGTCAGCACCTTCCACTCACCAACTACTGAGTTAAACTGAGTTAAACACATACTTTCCCGCGTTTAAAATAAAATCAGTGCCTCAGTGAGCAGATGGTGGAAGCTCTTATTTCCCAGGAGACAAAAAAACTACCCTTCAACTCAGCAATGGAGGCCACTGTCTGCCCCTGTGTGAAGTCACCCCTAGTAAATCACAAGTGGTCAGGGAAGCCCGTGCTCAGCATGATATTTTTAATTTTATTCAGATATCAAAAATAGCTTTTCAGTTAACTATATTTGATTTTTACTTTTAATTAAAATTAATACTTTTGTATGTTTTTTTTAACTTTCATTCAAATTAATCTGAAAAAAAAAAAAAAAAAAACCCAGAACAACTCTAAATTCTAAGAAGAACAACTAGCTTTGCCAAAAGGGAAACCAGGCAGGAAAAAATTTAAAATCTCAGTGCATGGAAGTAACATTCTGTCAATGTTACTAAGTTCTAAAAATATTTAAACTTGGTGACATGGACCAAAATATGCCTCTTCCCTTCATGTGGCATCTTTAAAAAGTATTGTTTTAAGGAAGACAACTGGAACACATTGCTTTCTGTGGTTCGATGGTATGGGATATTTGCGGTTATCAGAGTCTCATTGTTTGTGAAGGACATTTTTTACTTCCTAATGTGAATGTGATATACCTTCTTTGGGGTCGGAAGCATGCATAAAGATATATATCATTTGTCTTTTAACAGAGCTTTCTGTGACGTTACAGTTTTAAATAGTTGTAAATGCCTCAAATATTCCTTACTGAATGTTTTAGCTATGTCCTTTGCAAATATGGATGGAAATAACTGTAGTGAAGATGGCTTCATCTGATGATGTTACTCTGGAGAAAATCTGCACCACAAGGAACATTTCCAGTAAAGTATGGCAGAAACTGCAGGGTAATCAAAGTGCAAATTTCAATTTATTTAAGCAATATTGTTCTTGCTTCTCCATTTCACAAAGCTGTCCTTTCTCATTTAAGTTTTGAAAGAGAAGGAATGCATTTTACTAGCACAAATTTGAATGCTAGTTGACCTTTGTGAAAACTGCCTTGAACACTGGACATCAGCTGTCTTTTTCCACACATGGGGACAAAAGGAAGAAAATGAGGTTTATAAGGAGTAAACTGAATATATGCAAGACTTGATGCCATCCAACTAAGCTTTTATCTGAAGTGAAGTTTGTGTATATTGAGGAGAATATATTTGTTGATGGTCTTGAACAAGATATATGTCTGGAGATTTTTATGTGCTCTGTGGCTTTAATTTGATCAGGCCATTGATAGACACACTGTATCCAGTACCTTTTGCTGTATGGTATATATTCTGTGTATATATTTTGTTTACATGATGTACTGTATAAATACTGTATAATGTTCTCTATACATTGAGAATAGATGATATATAATATTCTTTAATTGGATTTATCATTTATCACCATCTCCTTTTACTTTTCACCCTACCTGATGGCCCTCTAACATTTCTTCATTTATTTTACTTATTTTTAATGTAATTTTATTTTGTTGTAAAGTTGATATACAGATCGGTTACAGTTATATACGTAAAGTAATGAGTAGATTTTTTGTCAAACATTGTTACCCCCTCCCTCCTTTTTCTCCCAATTCCCTCCCTCTCCCCTCCCCCCCCAGTCTTGGTCCCCAGGTTGTAAAGTTCATTCTCCCTATCCATGAGCATGGGATGTTTTCCTATATCCTTAAATCTGCTTTCATTTCTTTCTTTTTTTTTTTTTTAGGTTATTAAAGTTTTCATTATAGAGGTCCTTTACCTCTTTGGTTAATTCCTAGGTGTTTTTTTTTTTTTTAGGGCCTTACAAAAGGAGTTGCTTTTCTGATTTCAGCCTTGCTTTTCTTATTGTGAGCATACAGAAAAGCTACTGATACTTGTGGGTTAATTTTATACCCTGCTACTTTGCCAAAGTTTTGGATCAGCTCAAGTAACTTGGGAGAGGAGTCTATGGTGGTTTGGTTTTTTTTTTTTTTTTTGGTCAGTTGTGGGGCTTGAACTCTGGGCATGAGCGCTGTCCCTGCACTCTTCAGCTCAAGGCGAGCGCTTTACCACTTGAGCCACAGTGCCCTTTCCTATGGTGTCCTTTAAATACAGGATCATGTCCTCTGCAAAGAAGGAGAATTTTACTTCTTCTTTTCCTATTTGGATCCCCTTTCTGTTTGCTCAACATCTCTGTCCATAAAAGAAATGCAAATCAAAACAACATAGAGATTCCACCTCACACCAGTTAGAATGGCCATTATCAAGAAATCTAATAATAACAGATGCTGGTGGGTCTGCTTTCTTGATAGAAGAATTTTCTAGCTGGGCATTGGTGGTTCACGCCTGTAATCCCAACTACTCAGGAGGCTGAGATGTGATGATGATAATTTGAAGCCAGCCCGGGGAGGAAAGACTGTCAGACTCATATCTCCAATTAACCATCAGAAAACCAGAAGTGGTGCTGTGCCTCCAAGTGGTAGAACACTAGCCTTGAGCAGAAAAAGCTCAGGGTCAATGCCCAGGCCCTGCGTTCAAGCCCTGTACTGGGAAGAAGAAGAAAAAGAAAAGAGTTTTCTGTCTTCCACCAAGACCGAGCAAAAGTGTGGGTGAATCTTTATGGTTTGGTAAGTCAGTGTGTGTGTGTGTGTGTGTGTGTGTGTGTGTATGTGTGTGTGTGTGTGTGTGTGTGTGTGTGTGTGTGTGTACCAGCATTTCCCACACAGCCATTGTTTTAGTCCTCTTCCTGTTCTGTCTCTGTCTCTCACTCCCTACTCCTTACTCTCCATTGCTAAAATCAGGATAAAGGATACAGTCATGTTACTAATAGTTTTCAGTATATTTTAGCTAAAAAAATGCTCTTTCACATAATCTTGTTCCTGGGTAGTTTCTAGTAAAACAACAAAAACTCATCTATTCACTGTGCAGACTAAAGCCGTGCTTGGTGGCTGAAATGTTCTATTTCTTTCCAACTAGTCAACGAGTCATGCAGTGAACACTTCACATAACTCTGAGGCTCCCTGCGAATGAATTAGCAAGAACCACGAGGAAACATTATGAAAATTAAAAATTCCATTGAAAGCCTTGTTTTTGAGCCAAGACTAGTAAACAAAGGATGGGAATGCCAAATAGTCAAAAGGCTTGTTCTTCCACTCAAGAAAAGTGACCTGGAAGGGTGGAGAGGTCACATTGAGATGACTTCAGCCAACCTTCCTGACTTCCCTGGAAAGGTGTCCACTCCCAAGGGGTCATCACATCCCCAGTCTCCATCCTTTGATAGTTAAGCCCACAGCAGCCTCATCAGTGCAGTGGCCCAGCTTGCCATCCCAGGGAAGCAGTATGGTCACAGCACTTTCTGGAAGAGATGATAGATCTGGAAAAGGAAAACAGACTGTGGTAGAGTGGGCAAAGCACAGTATGGAGAATCCTGTGTTGATCTGCATTTAAGTCCAGGCTCTACTCCATTGTGGCTGCGAGTTCTAAGCAAATCAGTGACCTTCTTAAGGCTGACTTCTTTGTAAAGCACTGCTTCTTTCATTCATCATGAGATACTTAATGAGTACTTACTATGTGCCAGGATTTGCTCTAGATGGCCACTAGAAAGTGGGCAGGGAAGAGGGTGAGGAGTTGAGGGCATAGAAAGTCAGACAATGGTTCACTGAGAAGGTGATAATTGAACAAAAATGAAGAATGTTCCAGAGGAGAAGGGAGAGTGAGCAAACACAATAGCAGTAGATGAGGTCTAAGAAGAAACAAGAAGGGAGCTATGTTGGGTGAAGTCTTGTAACCATGTTGAGGTGTTGGATTTTTTTTATTGAGATAGGATGGATTGTGAGCCAAAGGCTTGTGCTTTGGGAGAGTCACTCTGACTGATGCATTGAGAATAATGCAGGGGGTGGGAGAGGCAAGAAAAGGAGGAGCAGTGAAAAACAAAGGCTGTTGTCTTCAGGTTAGAAATGATGGCGAATTGCACCAGGAAGTTGCTTCAGCGGTAATGAGCAGTGGTTGGATTCTGAACACATCTGGAAAGTACAAAGAATAGTATTTGCTGGTGGATTGCATAGGAATGTGAAAGAAAGAATCATAGCCAAGCTTCTCATCCGGGACAATGGAAGAATTGTGTTGCCATTAACTAAGATGTGAAGGCTGCAGGAGAGTTGGAGAGGAGTAGATGGAGAATTTAGTCACAATAATAGTTGCTCGGCCTCCCTCACAGGATCAAATA